AAATGTCGACATATAATTGAACAGTTTTAAAAAATTAAAAATACAATGCCCAATTATTATCTGTCACATCACTATGTCCTTCTATCTCTATCCTTAAGCCAGTCCAAAGAGCATTATTCAAAATAAAATGTTGATGGAACAATTGAAAAGTAAAAAATCCAAGAAAAATTACACAGAAGCATACCATGGAAGAAAATATGGATTTGTAATCCCATCTTTTCGTTTCCGATCGTGGTTGACTTGTCATGATGTGATCATTTTCAGGATTTGATGCTATTGGGAATCCCAGATTCGGAGATATTTATCTATTAAGTGTTTGATAATACTAACGCGACAATTTTTTTTTCATTTTTTTATTGAATTAGGATCTAATTGTAAATTTGCTGGGGTTTATTTATTAAAAGGGTAAATATATTCACGTCATAATTTTTATTAACACCCTACATTTTAATTATAGTGAATATCCATAAACTTTTCTTATTTTTACATATATGTTATTAACATTTTTTTTTTGCCATGAACCCTCTGTTAATTTTTACGTATTATCTATACAGACCATTTTAATTCAAAATGTTTGTTACGAGCGGTCAAAAAGATATATTTATTTCTCTTATTTTTAAATAAATAACTAAAATGAAAGTTAAACAAAATATTTATCCATCTTTTCAATCCACGTTAATTGAATAAATGGATGAAAATCATGATTGAAGATAAAATATATTAATCAATTGAAGGTCAAGAACGACAATGCGATGTGAAAAAGGTTGAAGACTTAAAAGTAAAAGTAATCAAATATTCTTGTAAAATGTGGTGTAGATATAAAAATTGTTGTGTGAATATAACTACCTTTATTGAAAATATATCTTAATTGTGGTGAATTATAATGTGTTATAGTAAACAAATTTTGTAGTAATAATATAATTAGTCACACAATGATGCCATTAAAATAATAATAAAAATAATAAGTTACCTGAAAGGCCCACTACAAAATTTTCTTCTCCAATTGTTTGTTCACTCCACGCGTCTCTACAACTGGCCGAGTTTCTCCACCCACCGCCGGAGTTCACCTGCTCTTTCGGTAATCCACTTCTCTTTCTCTTAATTTTTGTATTATCCTCTTAACTTTAATTTGATTTTGTTGCTCAGATCATACGGTCTTCTGAATTTATAATTATTGTCGGATTTTAATTTATTATTTTGTTTCTAGGATATTTCTAGTTTATTACTGAATTTTAGATATTTACGTTTTTGAAATTATCTCAGTTTGCATTAGGCCTCATTTATGATTTTCATTTTAATTTTTGTATAATTTTGGTGCCTCACAGAATGTGATGTTGTATCTATAATTTATGTTTTTTGCACATGATTAAATGTTCTTGGTTATGAAATATTTTGAGGCATTCACTTCTGCTACTAGTTATTTTGTATATAACTTTCTCGGTTGGTGTAGATATACATAGCAGTCATATGCATCAAATGCATGTGCTTCATATATAAAATATTCTTCCAGTTGTTTACTCCAAATTTAGTACAAATAAAAATGCGTTAATGAACTATTCCCCTGGGGGGTTTGAATATCTAGGGTTTTTACGTAATATATAGAATGTTGTATTTGAGAAATTGCGAAGAATGAGCTATTAATATTATGCGTTCCATGTAAAAGTTGTAAGTTTAACAACATGCTCTTCCAACCATATAAGATTAGTGTACATTGCCATTTTATGACTTCTGGAAAGTGCAGATACATGATTCATGTGAATATCATTTACTTGTTAATTGTTATGTTGGTGACAATTAAATACAAATTTGCTCGAGGTGTTGCTAGTTGCTACATATTTTTGAATTTATGGTTGTGATATGCACTTTCATGTGCATGGAATTTTATTGGTACATTGATGTTCATAAAGGCTAGTCACTAAAATGAACTTATTGTTATCCTAGTTTTCTCCCTGGAGCATGTGTGGCTCAGCTTAAAATGTTAATTATAAGTAAGTCATTCTAAAATTTTTTTCTTTAACATAGGTAACGTACTCATTTTGACAGCAACGTAAGAGTTACTTTTAGAAAGTAACTTTATGTCAAAGTTATTGAAAAATGTTTGGAACTATAAGTAACTTTTACTTCTTTATTTAAGCTTAGCCGAACATACTCTAAGCTGTCCTTTACAAGTAAGCACTTTAACAGAGCCCCAGTGATTTTTTAACTCATTTCATGTTTTATTACTTAAAAAGCAAGTGTCAAGCTGCTTGTGTGATTTTATTTATATAGAGAAGCGCCAAGAAGAAACAAAAATAATAACAAAAGAAAGAACTTTCTAATTGGCTGTAAATCTTAACTAAGAAGTCCTATGTGCAGTTTCTCCTTATATACCACCATAAAGTCCTAAATTGTTGAATTGAACTACTCAGATGGCAATTCTTTCCGACTACGTAGAGGAAAACTAGGCAGACGACATCAATGAAGCTGTTTACCGCCTCGTTCGATCTGTCGAACCCTTTAGGGTTTCTGGAGAAGGTCTTTGAGTTCATGGCGCGAGAGAGCCATTTATTCAAGAGCTATTCCTTGATAAAGGACATTGAATGCTGTGGTTAGAATGGTGAGGGAGAAATTGGTTGTCGAGGAGAAGAAGAGGAAAGAATCGAAGACTGAACTAAGTGCAAAATCTGAAAAGAGAGTGGAGAATCCACCATTGGCTACAGATGTGGAAATGGAAGAGTTGAAGCCAGAGGTCAAGGAAAGGAAAGTGATATTAAAGATGAGGAGAAAAAAGGACCTTGAGGTATCCTTCAATTTTTATTATTTGGAATAGTATTATTAATCACAAGTGGATTTTCTAGAATTCGATTCTGTATGCGTTACTTTTTGCGTATAATGGATCTATGAAATCAATTTTTTGTCTTGTCTTCTACAAACTCAGACTGGCGAGATTATTGTGATTGATTTCTTCACAAAATTTCCATTTGTTTGAATGTGGTTAGATTGGTCTTTACTGGTTATGTCATTTTTCTCTTTGTGGATTGATTCTATTTAAGTTTGTCTACTTTATGCTTTGCCTATTCTTGGACTTTAGCTGTGTTGATTAGTGTTTATAAGGCACTAGAGTTTCATTACATAAGTAGTGCATCGATTGAGTGTTGCTTAAAAATATTTATCCTGTTTAATTTGCATAGCTGCATAAGAAAGGCTGCAGGATTCTTTATTTGTAGTACCTGTGTACCTCTGTTTTTTATTTTCAATAGGGAAGAAAATATGAGAACCTAAGTTATATCTTTCTTCATATGCCTTGGTTTGGAACTTTATTTGCTTGTGTTCAATTGCATAGGTATATTGAGAATCTATATATTTCTTGAAATACATTGCAAGAAGAAGGATGAGGAGAAGATATCTTTGATCTTGAATCGTGCATTTTTTATTGACTTCATGTGGAAAATAATGGATAGGGCTTGGGGGGAATCCTACCAAATGCACCGCGAAAACGAAAAAAAGAAAACGAGTCGGAAAGTGAAAACAAGAATTAAACGTGGCTGTACCGAGATTCTTCATTGACCAGCATTAATTAGACTTCCCTTCCCATGAAAATTGCCTTCTGCAAAACATTCCATATTGCTGTAATTCCTTCCATGCATGGCTGCCCAATTGTTCTCATATTTTTTTAACGTAATCAACTTAAATAAAAGAAATCAAAATTTAATTTGTCAAATACCTTACACTTTAGAGTGTGGGCACAAGAACATCTGCCTGGGAGATTTTTTTAGCTATTTCATGCTTTTGGAGATTCTTTGTAGTATTTGTGGAAGTTGTTTCATTGATGGATGTTGACTTCTTGAAGAAAGGGAAAACAGACTATGAATCAATTTTTCTTTTTCCCTTTGGAGTTAAATTATGAGGATGGTAACCAGAATCTTAACTGCGTTCTACTTTTGGGATTTCTACAAAAGGAAGTCATGACTAGTGAGGAAAAGAGCAATTTTCTATTAGTGGAATTTCTTAGATTTGTCTTTCCATCTGCATGGATTTTAGTTTTAATGTTTGTTAACTGCGTGTGCCACGCAATCAACAGTCACACTGAAAATTACATGGTAGCGTGTTAATTAGAAGTAGTCAAAATACCCGCCAAACCATCCGACTCGCCCGTCGGGTCAGGTCGATTTGGGCTTGTTTCCTGGTTTAATTTGGGTAGCTTCCAGTTTGGTATCTGTCCGGTAGGGTTGGGTCATGAATTAAGCCGCCAACCTGAGTGGACCCGACCCCTTTCATTTTTATTAGTTTTTTTGTAAATCATTTAAAATTCAAAAAGTAAACTTTAATGAAAATCAAAGTATATAAAAACAAAACCTAATTGCCATTTGCCTCAGTTTCTCGTTCCAAAAGGAAAAGGGAGAAGCCCTCACAACTCGCTAGTCGCCGCCGCCCCTCTCCCTCTCGTCTTCGATCGGCGATTTCTTTTCAAGAATTTGAAGGGAGTCATCAAGGTTCAAGGATTTGTTTTCTTCTCGTCAATCGTCCCATTTGATGTCATCGAAAATGCAGTCAAGTAAGTCCTTTATGATTCAAAATTGGTTCTTTTTCTCAATTTAGATTATGAATTTGGTGCTTAATGGGATTGAAGGACCCCATTTGAATAATTAAATTGATTTATTGTTAGGATCGTTATTGTCTATTGATATCCATTGAAAAAGAATTGTTGTGTTGAAACTGACCTAACCAAACCAAACAGATCAGTTTGGGTCGGTTTGGTTTCAAAGATAGATTGTGTCAGTTTCGGGTTGGAATTCTCCCAAACCGACCAAGTTGGTTTTGGTTTTGGGTTGTGCCAAAAATCGACCCACGCCAACCCCTATTCTGATTTTACTTATGCTCATGAAATGTTATTTAATATTTTTGATAATCTATATATGTGACCAATGACTACCAACCATATGTTCTACTTGTTTAAGGAAGACCATGATGTGTTGGTTACTTGTATATGAGCAGCTCCTAACAAAGGCAATGGTCTTGATATGGATAAGTACTCTTGGGGTCAAACTTTGCAAGAGGCAAGTGTTGTTGTTCCTGTACCTTCTGGAACAAGGTCAAGTTTCATTGTGTGTGAATTTAAGAAGAACCATCTTAAAGTTGGGCTCAAAGGTCATCCACCAGTTATTGACGTAAGTATATTGTGTTGTTCCATGGATCTTCACGCGCTGATCTCTTAGAATAAAAAGTTGAACTTATGTTTGTTTGCTTGCAGGGTGAACTCTTCCAGCCTATTAAGGTAGATGATAGCTTCTGGACTTTGGGTAGGTCTTGTTACATATTCTACAGACGGGCATTATATATATTGTAGATTTGTCTGTTTATTGATAAAAAAATGTATGTTGAATGTTCTTTGAAAGCAAATGGATGTCTAACTATATTCCAACTTTTTGTAGAGGATCAGAAATCTGTCTCAATCCTCCTTACCAAGCAGAACCAGATGGACTGGTGGAAGTATCTGGTGAAAGGTGAGCCAGAGATTGATATCCAGAAAGTAGAACCTGAAACCAGCCAACTTTCAGATGTGGACGCCGAAACACGTTCAACTGTGGAAAAGATGATGGTAAGCTTTAATACACCATAACAGCATTTGCACCTATATTTTTTTACTTTCATGACCACTTCATATGAGGCATATTCATATGATATCTATTTTGAAGATTGTTGGTCAGTTGACACTATATATTTGGCCAGCTTTGAAATGGTGACTCAATTTTTGTGTAACCTTTTTAAGAAATTCAATTTGGCTTAAATGCTTTACAGTTTGATGAACGACAAAAATCCATGGGCCTTCCAACTAGTCATGAATTGATGAAGCAAGAGATAATAAAAAATATATTTGGCTGAGGTGAACACTAAATGACTTACCTCGCACTTCTCATCTTATTCCTTTGGCATTACTATGTATTTCCAAGTCATGGTGATTTACTTTACTGATTTGAGTTTATGAATTTTTCCAGCATCCGGAGATGGATTTTAAGGGGGTAGAAGTTTGCTAGTGAGCTGGAGAGGGCTTTCTGTGCAGGTTGTGTTGCTTATTAGTATTATACCTCCATCTATAAAAACTATTTGTAATCCTTTTGGGCTTCTCGATTGACGTTTAAACAGCTTTGTTTTTGTGAACTTTTTCTCCCGGTCCATCCGAGAGGCTTGCTTTTCATATCTTTCGTCTATATGGACCATCGACAGCTTTGAACTTAGTGTTATATTATAACTTTACTGTTACTCAACTACTTTCGTTAAATTGTTGAGCATTGTTTTCGAAGTTTGCTTTGCCATTAATAGTAGTATTAAAGAAAGATTTAGAGTAGTTTGACTCCTTTTTGTGGTTGTATAAAGATTAAGTAGTAATTTTACTTTTTATTGGTTATGCTTAAAAGTTACTTTTGTTGAAAGTAAGTTAAAAGTACATTCTAAAAGAGTGTTTTAATAACAAAAAGAAGTAATTTGAAAATCATGTTTAGCAAAATAAGTAACTTAAAACTACATGCTCGTTTAATTAAGATGTCTTTGGTGGGTGCAATCACATGCTGAAATGAATATCACTTTCTACAAAAAGGCTATGGACCCTGAAAATCTTCTTTATTGTCCAGTTATAGTTAGATGTTGATTCTGCAAACAATATGCATAGAAACAATTGAAATTGTTTATTAATCTGGAATGAAAGAGTCTATGAAATTGGGATCTTTGTTTTCAAAATTATTGCAGCCTACCTTCCAAGGGCTGCCCATTTCTTTTGGCATTTTGTACGTTTGATTTCATTTAAAGATGTGTTACTTGTTAATATTCTTCCCCCATACACTATGTTTGTTAGGACATGTGGTACTATGTTATCTCGAATTATTTGGTTATTCAGCGTGCGTGCTATTAATAATGTGAAGAAGAGAGAGAGAAAAAATGCTAGGGTAGTGTCATTGCGTGACACTTACGGTCAAGGCATAATTGTAACAAAATTAGTGTTCTGAAAAGTGAAAAACATGATTATGGTGTAAATTTAGAATAATGATATTCATAGTTAACTACTGTAGTTGTCATTCTATGTGACATGTTATGTGGTATAATCTTAATAATTTTATTTTTTTAAAAAGATAATAAAAAATATTTTTACTTTGAAATTACTAAAACTATGTCCTTGAAGATGATTAAAACAATCCCTGACTATGATAACATCACTCGTATAATTAAGCTTCACAAAATACATAGTTATTAAGATCATTAAGAACATCGAAATTTGTAAAGAAAATTTAAGTCTACGTTTGGTGCACATTTTGAGAGTAAGAATGTATTTTTACTGTTAATATGATGAGGAATATGTGATTGAAAAATAAGAAAATGTTATTGATGTGATGAAAAATATTCTTTTATTGAAGAATATGTGGTTGAAAATGAATAGAAGAATGAAAATGAAAAAAGTAATGTGACTCAAACAAGGGCTAAATGAATAATGTAATGGTAAGATTCCTCCGGAGGATAATGTATCCTTTTGAATATGAGACAAGATTTAAGTCATTTTCAAAGTGGAGAATAATATTCGAGTTTCTTTACGCTTCAAATAGGAAGGATAACACATTTGTGATTGAAATTTATTTTTTCAAAATTACATTTTCCTACCCTCGTTTTTAATCACATATTTTCTAACAAAAAATCACCTTTCAAAAAATCAACTGTACACTAGGGCAAAATAAATTGTTAAGATTGTCAATCTTGAAAGGTAAATAATCAATCTTGAAAGGGAAATAATCTTAATGACTATAAGCGTCCGTTTGATTGGTTTTAAATTTCATGAAAAATGTCACATTCGAGGAATTTAATTTCTACTTTTGCTGTTTGATACGAAAGTGAAAATTAAGTTCGAATTCCACGGTACAAGCACTTTAAACCATTTTTTTTTTGTTGTCAATTTCATGGAAAATGCATTCCTATATATTATTTGAATTTTTATTTTCCAACTTACATAGAATTGAAAAGTTTTTTCACTTTTGCCAATCAAACGGACCCTAAGTCTAATATTGCTTGTGAAAAGTATATTATGTAAATTTATAAGCTTGTTGAACACTTTAAAAAGAAGTCATATTGTACCAGTTTTCTTTAAAAGCTCTTCTAATTAAAGAAGCATTTTCATAAAATTAGTCAAATGGGTTCAAAAATAGCTTTTGAATTTCAAAAATTCATTTTGAATTGTCCGAAGTCATGTCAAACAAATCCTGCATATATTAGTATATGTAACCAAAGATAAGGTATATACATATTTGTTAGTATAATTTAAATGGAAATGTGACTCGAATGAGCGCGCAATCAATAATTGCTAAGAATAATGTTATTTATAGTGAAGATTACCGCTAGTCATTCTACGTGATATGCACATGACAATTTGTTATTTGATATATGAGGTAATAAAAAACTATAACATTAATGTATCTAATAAAAAACCGTCATGTGTATGTCACGTATGACGACTATCAATAATTTTCACTATGAATAGCATTGCTCATTTGCCAAAGAATGAAATTTGATTGACTGAATAGGAAAATGTTCCAAAAGTAAAAATAATCAATTCAATTAATTTGGAGGCTGTGGATATTAGGATATGTTCTTTAGTACGTTCTTCCCGTGGTGTGTGGAAGGAGTATATGAAGTATTCACAGCCAAATTTGGAGGGAAGCTCAAGTGATAGGGTTAGGTACAGTACAAATTACTCAAAAATTTGAGTTTTGAACGTGACTGTGACCAATTAATTACTTGATTTGTGACTTAATAATGACCCTTACCCACAAAATTGTGCGGTATGTAATTGTGACATTGTATAATTTGTGACTTAGTATGTTCTTATAACCCATGACATTTGTCGAATGTCACAATTGTGATCACCTGATTATTAAAATTTTTCACAAGTTTGTTAATTTCGAAATTGTATTCTTAAACATTTGTAGTTATGATTTTTTTCCAAACGTAAATCTTTTTCTTTGAGGTATGCTAGGGTAGGCCCTACATGGCTGAAACTATACAAGCAATTCATCCTACTCGTTTTTTCTAAAGTTTTCTTTTCTTTTTTCAAATATAGTCTTGCCTATATTCCGACATGATCAGGCTCTAGGATGAGCCAATAGAATTGGATTCTGTTAAGTCAATTCATCCAATCCTAAAATAGCTCGACACTTTTTAATATTGTAATAACGAATCAAGTACGGACATATAACAAAATATTATCTAACTATAAAACTAACAAGTACATACGTGTATATGTAATGTGAATTGCCTTCTTTAGTCTGTTTTGATGGCTATGGAACATAAATTCTAAGTCACTAATTGGAAAATCCAACAAAATTCGTAACAGAACACGGATCATGAATCATCCAGCTGGAGAGCTTAGCTGTCAAAGTTCACGTTTGAAGACTTAGTTTAGATATTTTAGTTTAACTACTTTTCCCACCTCTTTGTACTCCCCGCATTTTCCATATTTTGGCTTGTATTTATAATGTTGGAATATTTACTTCTTAAGTAGAGTTGAATAATAAGATCGAGATATTTTTCTGCTCCATATTTTCTTCTTTCTTCGGTTCTTCAGAATTATCATCATTTCTTCATTTTTCTTCATTCATCATTCAATATGGTATCAGAGCATTATGCTTCTATTGTCTACGTTTTTGAACTCAATTAATTGCACAATTTGTGATGGAGTCAATAGCAGCAAATAACCCATCATCTATGAACAATTTCACCATTTTTTATGGGTCCGGTCCTTATTGCATTCATCACTCAGAGAGTCCAGGACTTGTGCTTGTGTCACAACCTCTCACCGGTGATAACTATGCTTCATGGAGTAGAGCTATGGTTATCGCTTTATCAGTGAAGAACAAATTGGGGTTTGTGGATGGGTCTTTGCCCAAACCCGATGTTGATGATAATCAGTTAAATAATTGGATCCACAGCAATAATATGGTCATCTCGTGGATCCTCAATTCAGTATCTAAAGAAATTTCTGCAAGTCTCATATATTCAGATTCGGCACATGATATATGGATTGGCTTGAAAGAGAGATTTTAACAAAGAAACGGACCTTGTCTATTCCAGTTAAGGCGTGAGCTGATGAATCTAGCCCAAGGCCAATCATCTGTTGGTGTCTATTTCACCAAATTGAAGACTATCTGGGAAGAGCTAAGTAATTACATGCTAATGTGTTCATGTGTGAAGTGTGATTGTGGTAGTAACAAGAAGATAACGGAACACTATCAGATGAAATACGTGATGTCGTTCTTAATGGGACTGAATGATACATATGCTCAGATAAGGGGGCAACTGCTGTTCATGGATCTGATACCTTCTATCAACAAGGTTTTCTCTCTTGTTTCCCAAGAGAAACATCAAAGGAGTATCAGTAATTCTGGTGCAAGTGATACTATGGCCTTCTATGCTAACACTGATAACAAGAAGATCAGTTCAGGACAGACATATAGTAAGTTCCAAAGGAAAGAAAAGCATATGTGTACCTATTGCAAGATGATAGGTCATTCAGTGGACAAATGTTATAGGTTACATGGCTATCATCCTGGTTTTAAAACAAAACAAAATTCTAGTTTCAATGATCGATTGGGAGCTGGAAGCAACCAGCCGAGACGTGTGATGGCAAATTAGGTGAACTCCGAGTCCAAATCAGAACAAACACAATGTAACACACCAGATTTTATGCAATCTTTGAGTGCTACTCAATGTCAACAACTGATGGCTATGCTCAGCACTCATCTGACATCTACAAAGATTTACACAGAAACTGATGAATTCTCTAACCAAGTATCAGGTACATGCTTATACATTCCTCCTAATTCATGGATAAATTCACCTGAACATTG